CCTCCCTTCCTCCCTTCCTCCCTTCCTCCCTTCCTCCCTTCCTCCCTTCCTCCCTTCCTCCCTTTCTCCCTTCCTTCCTTCCTTCCTTCCTGTCCTCACTAGTTTGCGCCTTCCCACTCTAATTGTCAGTGTGCGCCGTCTACTCTCTGTCCACAAGTAGAGATGTCACCTGAAGCATCTTCGAAACCCTATGACACTATGAGCCAGGTTGAACCAGGACAAGCACAACACCTCTACCTCCAAAACGCTCCAAAAACCAACGCCATCTACAAAGACCGTGAAAAATTGTGTCTTTTTCCCCGATCGGACGCTCACGGACACCGATTCCGTTCCGTAAGGAAAAAAATGCATCCATGTACGGGGCTAGCTTTGGACAGAATAGATGGCGCCGCCCCCCCCCAAAGTGCACGTTTCTGCGCCATGTATTTGCCAACTAGAGTAATGCCCTTGTTGATGGTGGCAATGCCCTTGCTACTAGTAGTGATGCCCTTGTTACTAGTAGTGATGCCCTTGTTACTAGCAGCTTCTTGCTACTTGTAGTAATGCCCTTGTTACTAGTGGCAATGCCCTTGTTACTAGTAGTGATGCCATTGTTACTAGTATCTTCTTGCTACTTGTAGTAATGCCCTTGTTACTAGTGGCAATGCCCTTGTTACTAGTAGCGAAGTCCTTGTTACTAGTAGCTTCTTGGTACTTGTAGTAATGCCCTTGCTACTAGTGGCAATGCCCTTGTTACTAGTAGTGATGCCCTTGTTACTAGTAGCTTCTTGCTATTTGTAGTAATGCCCTTGTTACTAGTGGCAATGCCCTTGTTACTAGTAGTGATGCCCTTGTTACTAGCAGCTTCTTGCTACTTGTAGTAATGCCCTTGTTACTAGTGGCAATGCCCTTGTTACTAGTAGTGATGCCCTTGTTACTAGTAGCTTCTTGCTACTTGTAGTATTGCCCTTGTTACTAGTGGCAATGCCATTGTTACTAGTAGTGATGCCCTTGTTACTAGTAGCTTCTTGCTACTTGTAGTAATGCCCTTGTTACTAGTGGCAATGCCCTTGTTACTAGAAGTGATGCCCTTGTTACTAGTAGCTTCTTGCTACTTGTAGTAATGCCCTTGTTACTAGTGGCAATGCCCTTGTTACTAGTAGTGATGCCCTTGTTACTAGTAGCTTCTAGCTACTAGTAGCAATGCCCTTGTTACTAGTGGCAATGCCCTTGTTACTAGTAGTGATGCCCTTGTTACTAGTAGCTTCTAGCTACTATCTACTGTAGTAGAAATGCCCTTGCTACTAGTAGTGATGCCCTAGCTACTAGTAGCTTCTAGCTACTAGTAGCAATGCCCTTGTTACTAGTAGTGATGCCCTTGTTACTAGTAGTAGTAATGCCCTTGTTACTAGTAGCGATGCCCTTGCTACTTGTGCGCATACTAGTAGCTTCTAGCTACTAGTAGTAATGCCCTCGATACTCGTAGTGATGCTCTTGTTATTAGTAGCTTCTAGCCACTAGTAGAAATGCCCGTGTTACTAGTAGCTTCTAGCTACTAGTAGTAATGCAATTGTTTTTAGTAGCGATGCCCTTGTTACTAGTACCTTCTAGCCACTAGTAGAAATGCCCTTGTTACTAATAGCTTCTAGCTACTAGCAGTAATGCCTTTGTTACTAGTAGTGATGCCCTTTTTACTAGAGCTTCTAGCCACTAGTAGAAATGCTCTTGTTACTAGTAGCGCCCTCGCTCGTTACTAGAATGAAAAGAAAGAAGTAGACCTGGGCCTCTTTGATAAGGCCCCCTAGAAAGAGGGGCCGCATGAAAGAAGGCCAAGTTCCTTATTTGATGTCTTTCTTTTTCTCTTTTGAGGGTAGAGGGGTAGAAATAGACGCCTAAGTAGGGTAGGTTTGCTAACATGTTCGCCGTCAGGTGGCTTTGACCGCTTGACCTTTGCATGACCCAAACAGTTTGAGTAGGAATATGAAGGCCCACCTGCCACTTGATTCGTGCAAGGCCAAAGTCTGACACCTTGGCCGAGTAGTGCAAAGAACTTTCTTCATTTTCTTCATAAACAGTGATGCAAAGGTGTAGATGCTACTCCGATTTGATGTTAGACTCCTGCCTTGGTATATGGTGTATCCAACGTAGTCTTCACAGGATTTGTCAAGAGGAGATTCAGGGATTTCAAATCCTTGGCAAAGCCCGGAAAGGACGAAAAGAGGCTGCTAGGAGCAAGAACGCTACTAGGGGCTCCTGGCCATACTACTAGGAACAATGTTCGCTACTAGGAACAAAGGGCATCGCCGTCGCTACTAGGAGCAAGAATGCTGCTAGGAAGGAGGCCATCGCTACTAAGGATGGAAAAGACGAGCTCTCTGAAAAAAGCAGGGTCTGAGCATCGCACTCTGTGGATCACCTGTGGATTGAACCTGAGAAGAAAAGAATCGGATCAAAACACCTTTTTTCAAGAAAACTGAAGTAAGTTACTAAAGTGTCCCAAAAAGGAAAGCTCTGGCTCTCATGTCTTGTCGCTTTCGTAACGATTTCGCACCTTATCTGTCGATTCAGGTTGGCATCGCTTCGATCGTGTCACAAGGAGTCACAGAGTTCCAAACTCATGGAGGTACTGCATGGCTTTTGCGACGTCCAAAAGGATTCGCAACTTCTGTGGCCTTGGAAGTGAACGAAAAGAACGAAAGGACGCTACGAACGGGGCTCCTGGCCTTACTACTAGGAACAAGGACGCTACGAACAGGGCTTTGGAACGAAAAGAAGAAAGCAAGCAGCTTGCTCCAAGACACGGAGCTTCGAACTCTTCGAGGTTAGCAAGTTGCATCTTGTCTCTCAAACCGAAAAAAGGAAACTCAGAGAAAGGCACGAAGAGGTCAAACTCTATCTCTAGCAGTATCAATCTGGAGCTCTGAGGTCGAAACCATGCCAGCAGCATCCTCAAGTTGAAGAAACTGGAAATGATTCGGTGGAGCTTGGTACTGGTGACGGAAAAGACTGGGACAGCGTAGCGGGGCTGCAGAAAATAAGCTAGTGGAATGCACAGGGGCAAAGAGCGTGCATAAACAAACGGTCCATGCTCTTTATGTACGGATTGTAATGATCGTGATGTAGTTTTCGCGGGAGTAAAGGTGCCAGACAAGAGAATGTGGATACCTTTTGGCAAAATGCAGTAAATGTTCAATGTGAAGAACTGGCATCAACCAGACCCTGTAGAAGTGAAAAACGAGTCATCTGAACTTCACCCAGCAAAAGGGCCCCACTACTTTGAGAGTGGACTGGTTTGTTTGTGAGGTGTTTAGCAGGACTCATGTCCTAAAGTCACACAGTGTAGTATCGCCGTGTGACATAGAGTAGTGAGCCCAAGGACACTGTGACCCAAAATAGTATGATCTGCCGAACAGTGAACTACAGTTTACAGTAGTACAGCCCGACTGAAATTAGTTGGAATTAGAGTTGTCTGGCCACAAGTTGCCATCTAGAGAGTGGACCCGCGGCCCTCGAGTATTTGTCAACTTGGCAACTGCTTCGACCATTTGACTACCACGCTCGACTTCTGTTGTGTTGTGTATTGGTTTGCTGCGTTCGCCGTTTCCCTCTCTTAGAGCATGACTCCTGGTTGTGCAGCAAGGAGAAGACGCAGCCTCCTGCACAATACCTGCAGGCCAAACCTTCGACCTCCCATGGCACTGCTGATGGCGCTCATGCTGTACGCACATGACCGTACGGGCAACTCAGTCCACTAAGGCACTGGCTCTGTGATGATGCGAAATGGCCTCAGAAAAGGTACTGGCTCACTAAGGTCCAAAAGCACAAATGAGCGATGGCCTCCACCTAATAGCGTCCTTGCTACTAGTAGCTTCCTTGTTCCTAGTAGTACGGCCAGGAGCCCCTAGTAGCGTTCTTGCTCCTAGTAGCGATGCCAGGAGCCCCTAATAGCGTCCTTGCTACGTTTTGAAGAAACGCAAACTACTTTTGCACACTGCCACAGCACAAAGTTGCACTTCAAAGAAGTGGCCCTCTCAAATTCCAGAACACTTTGTGTGAAAAAAGAAAGTTTGTGGAAAATGGTCTAGCCGCTGGCAGTTTGCATGGTCTATGGTGCAGTAGGGGGGAACGGGCTCGATGTACAGTACTACAGTTGTTTGAAAGCATGAACAATGAACCATAAGTTTTGCCATGATCATTGCGCGCTCACAAACCACACCTGCCTCTGGATGGATGAAATACCCAGAAACCGCACCAAATTTTCATGACAAGTCCTGAAAGAGGAGCAATGGCAAGGATATGTCTAAACAACCAAAGAAATGCCAAACCATTGAATAAGAAAACCCTATGCATTCTGTTCCGGTTCTCTCCTCATCAGGACTGCCACCTCACGCTCGAATGCGCGTAAGTCCTCACGAAATACACTTGCTACAAACTTCTATGTTCCCAAACATACCCTTTAGCAAACATCTAAAACCTGGCCCGCTTTGTCTCACCCCTTTTACCGCCCGAAGTTGCAACCAACAAATGCGTTTTTACAGCATCCTTGCTAGCAATAACTTGTGCCCATTGCAACCTAGTTCCTTGCAAGCGCCCTGGTTAATGAGAAGAAAGTAGTGGAGCACAAAGCCTAAAACCTTTAAAGAGCCCCAGAAGAAGACCTGACTGAAGGCACTTGCATCCTCGCTCACAAGCGCGAGGAAGACTTCGGAAAACAGTACGTACCTACGGATTGAGTCATCTCCCATGCCTGAGTGAAAAAAGATCATGAGTAAAGCAGGCATTAGGGCCATTAGGGTCAAATCATCTTCCAAGTTCAAGTTGTTCACACACGGAAAAAAGACTTCCACACTCAAAGAGTCTCAACATGGATCAAAAAAGTGTTTCTGATTGTTCCTAGTAGCGTGGCACTTGTTCCTAGTAGCGATGCACTTGTTCCTACTTGCTTCTTGTTACTACTGCCATACTTTTTGTTCCTAGTAGCGTGGCACTTGTTACTACTAGTAAGGCACCTGTTACTACTAGCGTGGCACTTGTTCCTAGTAGCCATGGTTGTGAACGATGTTTCGGAAACTATGTTTCCAAAGCTAGGGACGTTTAGGAAACTACACATGTTTCTGAAGCTATGTGTCGGGAACTACCTTGTCTTGGAAACTGTCTTGCATATTCGGAAACTACAAGTGCCTAAGCGAAGTATCACAAAGTTACATAATGTTGCACCACCATGTTAGGCCCCAATCCGCCCCACCACCCCGTCCAAGCCCGCTAGTAGGTTGGAACCCATCGCTACTAGGTTGGAGGCCATCGCTCTCGCAGTTGATCCTTCTCAGACTTGTCCACGTCATTGATCTGCTTTACTGCCACCTTTGGGCCAACGTGGCACTGTTTCAGTCTTTCAAAGAAACAAAGCGGCAATTCGTGCCTGGTAATGCCCATCAAGAACAGCCTATGCACATACTTTTCTTGTAGAGAACGTCTGCCGCATACTTGTTTCTGAATCGAAGAAGTGATTTCCAAAAGTGTGGAGAAGCCTGGTACACGTGAGCGGTCACCTTAGGCAAGCACTGACCTAGCTGCCACAGTGAAGCAGTCATGTCCGATGATTCCACGATTGACAATGTCCTAGTGGTGCAATTGACACTATTGAAGAGAAAAGAATGTGTGAAGGCAAGGAGGCTACTAGCGGCTCCTGGCCTTACTACTAGGAGCAAGGACACTACTAGGAGCAAGAATGTGTGAAGGCGTGCATCTCAGCTTCCAACACCTTGCCCCACTGAGCGCTCAAGCAGAATCCGATCGAATGCAATCTGGCGTAAAGATCTGACTGAAGAATACTGTGTGATTTGTTCAAAAGGGACGTGTTTTTCCAAGTCTAGAGTCGAGATGCGTGTGACACCGCGAACAGCCAATGTACAGTATACATTTGTCCGCATACGCCTGCATACGTGCATGACAAGTACCTCAAGAACGTTGAAAAACATTATACCGGCATAGACCCCAAATAGCACTTCAAGAAAAGTTGGACACCATGGCAAGAGCGGGAGACAAGCTTGGGAGACATCCCACTCAAAGCGGGAACAGGATGGAAAAGGTAAACAAGACCTAAATCATCTTATAACAGCATCCGCGTCAAACGCAAGCAAGAAAATGACAAGGCGGCAGCGGCAGCCAAGAGCGAAGTCATGAAGGGAGACAAGCTTGGGAGACAAGCCGGCAGCGGCAGCCAAAAGCGAAATCATGAAGGGAGACAAGCTTGGGAAACAAGGCGGCAGCGGCAGCCGATTTCCGCAATCCGGAACCCATCCATTGAGAAGTAAGAACCCCTATAGCTTCCAGCTATCTGGGGAACAAAGGTGAACTTCCCATCACAAATTGAGATGTCTGTTCAGTTTCAAGTTGTCGCAGCAAAGAGTCAGATAAAGTTTTTTAAACTTCAAATTCGCTAAGACTTGGGATTAGGTTGGAGGCCATCCCTATTAGGTTAGAGGCCATCGCTACTAGGTTGGAGGCCATTCCTATTAGGTTGGAAACCATAGGCCCTTCCTATTAGGTTGGATGCCATCGCTACTAGGTTGAAAACCCTTCCTATTAGGTTGGAGGCCATCGCTACTGGGTTTGAGGCCAGCACTATTAGACTTGGCGTGAAGGAAGCACGAGGCTTCCATTGTCACGAACTTGGCTCCAAGTTGGTTTCGCCGGGTGTATTGACGAGGACATAGGACAAAGACCGTTTAACTTGTTGATGCATTCAAAAGCATAGAGCTCTTTGCGAGGTGTGGTGATGCCAAAGGCATTGCCTAGAAACAGATGCACTTCAATGCCATGTGTAGAAACGTAAGAAAGTGCAGTCGCGAAGAGCACAGTTGCACAGGACCTGATAGGATTGAGTAAGCAGTGAAGGCACAAAGCCATACCCAAGACGACCCACGAGCACCCTGCAAGAAGTGGTCAGCTAAGCCTTACTGAGCCAACCTACTAGCGATGGCCTCCACCCTAAAAGCGAAGGCCAACAACCTACAAAGTACTAAAGATTAGCTGCGAGTTTCTCTGGTAGTTTGTTACTACTAGGAGCAAGGACGCTACTAGGGGCTCCTGGCCTTACTACTAGGGACTAGTGCTTCCAGCCCAGTCTCCTCTGTGATGGTGGGAGCACTCCGGGTCTCTGGCTCTGCGCTATCCCTTTTCAGGATGGAGGCCATTGCTAGTAGGTTCGAGTTTACTGCAGGAACCATGAGCGATTCGAGTCTCTTTGCTCAAGCTGCGTCCATCCGTTCTTACATCAACGCCCTTTGTGCCTTGCGCCGCCCAACGAAGAGTTCCTTTGCGTTGAGATAAAGTTGCCACTTTGTCCATTGCTTGAGGTTGGAAGCCATCGCTATTAGGTTGGCCTCCTATTAGGTTGGAGGCCATCGCTACTAGGTTGGAGGCCAGTTGCCACTTTGTACACTGGCTTTCGCCATGTTGTCGGCGCAGGTTGAGCACGCCCACAGCGCAGCTCTGTGCGTGTTGTCGATTTGCCACATGAACATGTGAGAAAAGAACTGAACTAAAACACGAAAGACTCACCTCGGTCGGAACATGTTTTTTGCATGTAAAGAACAAGGACGCTACTAGGGGCTTCTGGCCTTACTACTAGGAGCAAGAAGCTACTAGGGGTACCTGGCATCGCTACTAGGAACAAGGATGCTACTAGAACAAAAAACAAATAATAAACCTAAAGACACACCATGTTCAGTGTTGAAAGGTAAGAAATCTGATTGCCGTCAATGTTTTGCTGGTTTGGCAAACTTGAGGGATGCCTACTGTGGCCCTCTCAGGATTTCAGTCCAATACCCAAGTTGTGGACTCAACTTTTCAGGACTTCCCGTTCCAAATTACTACGATCTCCTTCGTTCTCTATGGCGAACAAAGTGAGAAACAACATGTTTTGCACGTAAACTGAAGTTTAACGAAATCAATGTGTTCAGCCTCCCAAGATGCGCATTCTGCATGCACAACTCCACAAGGAAGGGCTGTGACCATGGACCTGGCATGACACCCGCTGACATGCAATGTCCACTCTCCCAAATTTAACTGCTCAACGCAGACTGAGTTGGCAGCTCAGATCCAACTTTGCCCACATTGCATGGATGTGAAATGCAAAATTGTGGGCAAAGGATACTTTGAACTGGCCACGTGTATGGAAAACACTTGTCCAATCCAGTGGGCATACGCCACATACCTCGTCTACGCATGTCTCTTTAGAATACGGATGAAAAGGTAAAAAATTGACATTCTGAACGCAAAACCTGAGTACATGTTTACAATGCATGTGTTATATTACTACACATTTGGTGCCGTGCTTGCTTTCTCCAAAGCAGTCCAGAGTGCATGCTAAACAGCTGCAGGTCACACAAAATGGGGTCGTACTGCATGATTTGGATCTGACCCGTTTCTTTGATTCCAACATATTCTACACATGTGACGTGGGATCTCAACAAGGAGTCCACCAAGTGAAAAGAATCACCCGTCAGTAACACAAATGGAGATCAATGGTGGATGGGAAGATAAGAAAAACCTTCCAAACGAGCAACAATTGAAAGTCCAACAGCCCACCAGATGAGGGAAAACGCTGGGTAGAAACTTCGATGAATGAAACGGAAAAACACCATAAACGCAGAATCAATTCGCAAAAACAAATGAAACTGCAGAGGCTGCCCGGCGAACCTTTTTCGCAAACTTCAACAAAAACGGCGATGACCGCTTAAAGGTTGGTACACTTATCGATTTCCTTTGTTGCTAGTAGTTTCTTGTTCCTAATAGCCTCCAACCTACTTGCGTCCTTGCTTTGTTGCGTTTTGTTCTGCACATTCCACCAACAACAGTGCCACACCGAGGATCCGTGTGGCTGCTGAGCTCATCCGTTTCTCAGGTGGACACCTCATCGTAATGTCGCTGCCCTTAACCCGGTCGCTGGCACGCTTAGAGGCGCACATTCACGGAGCAAAAGAAAGTCGCAATTTGATACATGGAATGAAACCGTCCAATGCTCACAGTCGGGTCAGAAAGAGCCTCACAAAGCAAAACTGTTTCAAGAAGCAGCATTTATATAGAAAGAAAAGCATTGCCAGCGCACACGTTGCTCACAAACAAACCAGCCTCTATGCAATGAGGTAACCATAGCAGTCCAACCTGGAATGATTGGTTGACCCCCGCACTTCAACACGCGTTTGTAACAAGTATATTCAGAGTATTAACATGTATATACTGAGGGGAGGACTTGGAGACACCGCGTTTAATGGAAGCTTCTTCGTCTTCTTTGCTCCAGTTGCCGTCCTGTGGAGAAGGCATTCAAACTAAAAAAGAGCTGACTGACTAAACACGAACTGGTAGGTCATTGAAGCTACTGCAACTAGCAAAACAAGTTGCTGGCACCACGGCTCCTCCTGTTGGCTAAATATTTCGATTTGGAAGGCGTCGCATTGGACTGTGGCTGCATTTTCGGTCTTGATCGCCTGAAAGCCGAATGACAATACCACCCATACACTTTTGAGTTCAAGAAAACATGTTCTGGCTTTTATCACTGTCTGCTTTGTCTTCTACTCAACATCAACTAAGGCACTATTGGACATGAACGCAAACGATGAACTCACAGCACGTGTTGCAAAGATGGTCGCTCTGCTTAATCTTTGTCATTGTCCATCTCAAAGCTCTTCCAAAACAAAATGAAAAGAAATTCCATTTGAGGTCTGCACCTTCTTCAGATCATCTATGTCACCAACCGCTCCAGTGATTTTGAAGGCATTGCCGATGAACTCGAAGCCGCCATTGTCGTCAACAGCCGAGACATTCAAACTCAACCCTTTCCAACCGTGTGCTACTCGCATTTACTTACCAAAGGGCACAGCAAAGGAACAAACATGCCAAAGGGCATGGCAGAAAATCATACAAAGTCTTTAGTCTAAATCCTCTTTATCAAATTGAGGAATTATTAGAATACATACAGTATTTCATAAATCCTGAGGAATGAACAACCCTGCAATCTTCTCCCTAAAAGTCCTGAACCCTGCCAAGTTCGTAGCATAACAGTGTATTATCTTGGACAGTGGACTTGCCCTTCATCACGCTCTATTTTGGGGCATGGTTTTTGGTCAAAAATAGTTCTTCCTACACCTGACAAAAGGGCACAGCAAAGGAACAAGGGCATGGCAAAAAACATACAAAGGAAAGGAAACGGCAACTTCTGATTGTTTTGGGGGTGGATTCTTGTCTGCAGTTTTTGCTATACCAATCATGTGTTTCATGTGGAACTGTCGTCAGTCCTTCTGGAGTTGCCTCACCCAAACAACTTTGGTGAGTGTGGCAGTAGTGCCTAGCACGGCATCAAATCATTCAGACTGGCTAGCCTACTTTGAAGATTGATGTTCAAGGATTCCATCCAGCACCTCTTTTGAATACAGAATTGAGAAAGAAACACCGATCAATTCTGCATTCTTGATGCAACACCCCTGTCGCATCACAAGACTATCTTGGTGCGCCCAACCTCTGATAGGGAGAGGTGCAGTTGGTCTATCTCCAGTCATGATGTATCGTTTGGTACTTCTGGGTCTCCAACAGCCATATGCATCAGGGATCTTCGACTGCTCTAGAACTTCAGCCATGAGACCGTCTAAGACGTCTACTTCTTCAGCTCCTGCATCAGCTGGTTTTCTTCGCTTCTTCAATAGTTTTTGCATATCCAAGCAATTCAGAAGCGCCCACGTCTGGTCTTCAGACCATCGGTAGAACGTTTCTGGCATCTGCTGTGGTGATATCTTCGTATTATCACCATTGAGACGGGAAACCTCTTCCGCTGCAGTTTCACTCTGCACGATGAAAATGATCTGGTGAAGGTTGTCACATGCAGCCCGGGCAAGCAAGCACTCTCACTCTATCTCCCTGATTGAGAATACCACCATCCAGAACATTGTCAAAAATTACCCTCAGTCTGATCCCCTTCCCTTTCAGAATGGTGAAGAGGGGGCGAACAATTTCTGTAGTGAACTCCACATTGGCAAGAAGCTCTTTAGTTGCCGTTCAAAGTCGTTCTGCAAAAGCACGATTATATCCTTCGTCTCTCTCCCTAACAGTTCAAGCGCTGCCAGTGCTGCGGCAGTTGACTTTCCGGCACCTGGCTCCGCATGCACCGCGTAGACTCCAATCATGCTGGTATTCTGAAGCGTTGCAACCATGAGTTTCTCGAAGGGTGTACCTCTGATTGGCAGAAGAGGCAAGTCTTCCTCTTGCGCAAACGGGATCAGAACATTCTGTCCTGCAGTCACGGCTTTTTCAATCTCTCCTGCTAACTCTGATGCATGTTTCTTCGCATCCTGCGCATCTTCACCTTCAAAAGGTGCTTGTTTTTTCCATTCGCTGGCAAATTTCTGCACTTGTTGACAACTTTTCAACAGCTGAGCTGCAGATGTCAATTTCGATGCCACGGTAGCCCATGCAGCTTGCACAGCTGGATCTTGAGCTGCATCAAAGAAAGCAGAAAACACATTTGGAACACTTCTGCGGGACATGAGACCCCGTGTAGAACATCTAGCCTGTGGTGTTGCAAGAACCAGTGTTCCTGCCCACCGCCAAATAGCTGCCAAAGCAACTGCATGTAGTACTCGTCTTTTTTGGGGTTTCATGCGGAGCACAAATCTACATTTTCGCGGCCATTGGCAACGGGAAGTTGAAGTTGAGGGGGCTGATTTTGGGGTCAGTGTGGCATTGGTTGAAAATCAAACATTGCCATAAATAAATACGCAAATTCTCATGGTCTGAACATGACACCTCGGCTTCTTTTGGACCAATAATTGGTTTCTTGTTTGCTAGGATTTGCGAGGTTAAAACTGCAGTCGCAGGTGTGATCAGAAAACCAGAAAGCTTGTCAAGCGCACAACCCCTTTCAACAAGCACATGCTCCGGCATGCAAAGTTCCAATGTGTAACATTGAAAACGCTGGCTGCAAAACAAGTACAATGAAAACAAGTGTGCGCCAAGTGCAACATGATGCAACAACACTTGTTCTGCCTGACGATGACAACCATCCTTCAAGAGCTTTTCGGAACTGAAAGAAATAGCAGCAGCTACTACACCCTTTGCATCTCACTTCCAAGCCCTTCGGATTTCCTTTCCAAACCTTTAAAGTTTCTTTCCCCACCTGTTGTTGGGTTTCAACATAACTAATGTAGTTCACCCTCTGTCTGACTCAATCCTTGCTTCACATTGTCTTTCCCTGCTGACTTCCATTGGCAGGTGGAACACCAAACAAAAAACTGTATTCCACCAATTTTCATCAGATGTTCGATTTTCCATCTATTTTCCCTCTTGTCATTTAACACTGGAAAAAGGCACAACAGAAACGCGCTTGCGTGCACAAATCCATCTATCAAACTATTTACCACGGTGCTTGATTTATAAACCCCCCTAGAATAATGTCTTTTTTTTTCCCTGCACTGATTTATAAAGGCCCCTAGAACAATTTTGTTTTTTTTGGAGGGGTAGTTGTAGTGGAATATTTTTTGGTTATAGTTTACTTGTTCCCTTTTGATTTGCTTTACTCACCCTCTATTCCTTATTAACTTGTCCTAAGCTCTTTAGTTTTGAAGCTTTCCAAAAGTTTCCAAAAGTCAGTGCAGTGCGCACTTTCTTTATAAAATCCCTTATTCAAAAGTATTGAAAAACAAAAAAAATCATTCAAGCAAAGGGGGTAGTCCAGCAAGCAGCTTTCTGACATTATTTAGGGGGGGGCCCTAGAATAATGTCTAGAGATTTGAGGTTTTAAATCTTTATTCCTTTTCTTTGCCTTTTGATTTGCTTTACTCGCCCTCTATTCCTTATTTACTTGTCCTAAGCTCTTTAGTTTTGAAGCTTTCCAAAAGTTTCCAAAGGTCAGCGCGCACTTTCTTTATAAAATCCCTTATTCAAAAGTATTGAAAAACAAAAAAATCATTCAAGCAAAGGGGGTAGTCCAGCAAGCAGCTTTCTGACATTATTTAGGGGGGGCCCCTAGAATAATGTCTAGAGATTTGAGGCGTTAAACCGTTATTCCTTTTCTTTGCCTTTTGATTTGCTTTACTCACCCTCTATTCCTTATTGACTGTTCCTAAGCTCTTTAGTTTTGAAGCTTTCCAAAAGTTTCCAAAAGTCAGCGCGCACTTTCTTTAAATCCCTTATTCAAAAGTATTGAAAAACAAAAAACATTCAAGCAAAGGGGGTAGTCCAGCAAGCAGCTTTCTGACATTATTTAGGGGGGGCCCTAGAATAATGTCTAGGGATTTGAGGCTTTAAATCTTTATTCCGTTTCTTTGCCTTTTGATTTGCTTTACTTACCATTGAAATTGCAGGTCTTTGGATTCAGATTTCCATTGAAATTTAAAAAGTTAGTTCTATTTCCCTTGATTCATTCCCTTTTATTGTAATTAATATTCCAGATGTCTTCAAAGTTAGGTTTCTTGATTCCTTTTATTTTAATATTGCCAGACTCGACAGATTTGTGCCCAAGGCGCCTGCGGTATCGTGTCATGTGAAACAGTTCTACACTTGATCATAGCCATAAGGCCGTGAGGCATGACTGCACAATTTCACTCCGGTCATCCTCTTGATGCCGTTCTGGGCTCAATTGGCTTTCGCCAGCAAAAAATGCTCAGCCACAACAGCTGCTGCATTTGCCAAAGGCTTCTCTTGGCCTCACTTGTTCGCCCTCTCTCAGATGTGGACATCCTTCTCGATGGAACTTCTTGCCAGTCTTCGTGATGAAGATGGCTTCCGGCAGCTCCAAGCTCTTGATGCGAGCCAGGTGTCTCATGATCTCCTGGTCTTTGAACTTGACCATCTTCTGCAGCTTCTCGATCTCGCCGGCCATCTCGGCGTTGTCAGTGATCCTTGGTGTCAGCGGTGCTGGTCTCTCTGATGATGCTGCCGTCTTCCTGTCCAGCTTCATCTTCAATTCAGCATTCTCATCTTCAAGCTTCACTAGTCCAGCTCTCATGTCACTGACCGTGGATTCGAGCACCATTTTTCTTGCATTGACCACTGTCATGTCATTCTTGAGGTTCTTCAGCTCGAAGTCCTTGTCATCGTACTTCTCCTCAAGCTTCTCATACTTATCTTTCCACCATTCATTGTCAAACTTGAGGCTGTCGATCTCCTGTTGCTGTAGGTGTGCATCTTCTTCGCTCTTCTTGTTCTTTCGCTTCAGCGTCTCCTTCTCGTCAATGACCTTTCTTGCAAGATCTTCCCATGTGTCTCGAGAACTTGCTTTCCTCTTCCGTTGGAAGGATGCTCCTGAAGATGATGGTTGATCTCCTTCTTGATCGACATCCATGTCATCGTCGTCGTCGGACTCGATCTTCACAGGTTGGATTCTTCTCTTCTTGCTCATCCAACTTGTCACCATTCTCTCAAGCATCACCGCCAGAATCACCGTGATGAAAATCATGAGGTACACGGAGAAGTAGCTCTTCTGCTCTTGATTCTCCGGTTCAGTGGATTGCGCATCCACCAAAGTTCCAAATGCCAAAGTCGGCATCATTGCCGCCAGCATCTTCTTGGAAGTGGCAAACGCTGCCAGTCCCACAAGCACTGAAGCATGCGTCGTTCGCACCATGCTCTCATCCTTCTCTGCCTTCAAGATCATCTCCTCGTCCTTCAGCATCAGGTCGTGCTCGTCAAAGTCGATGGTCGGAAGAACCCTTGTCACAATTGGGTGCTTCTCCACTCCACGCAGTCTGATTAAACCTGTTGTCAACAACATCAGCATCATTTCATGGACCATGGACTTGGTGAGGGAATCGGCAAGCATGTAGTTCGTTGGGACCAATGTCACCATTCAAACTCTGCCATCCAGTCGTGCTTCCTTGATGGACAAAACGTAGAGCCGCTGTGTCTTGTCCTGAGGCATCGTCTTGCTGCCTGTGATGAGCTCATAGACATCTCGAGCATCTCCATACATGTCCAAAGGCATCTGGATTTCCAGCTGTCTGGATCTTGATGAGGTCCTTCAACGATGGAGGATGTTGAGGATGGAGCATCTCACTGAGCCTGATCATGCACAAGGTTGCAGATTCCAAGGCGTTCACCATGGCTAGCGTCTCACCATGTGATGTGCTGTAGCTCACCCTCTTGGCTTTTGCTCCATGTGAATGCAAAACATGCATCACTCCTCCATGCATGAGCTCGTGCTCCTCAGTCTCGCAGGTGTGCTCAAAGTCAATCGTGATGTTCCGCCATTCGTCATCGGCCAAAGCAATGACTACACCTTCCTGGGCATAGTTCCGGCCCTTGCTGGCTGCCGAAGCATCATGAAAACAAACTAGTCGTCGATGCTTTGTCCTGAAGTAGCGGTAGTGCAAGCCAACATCTGCAAACTCTTTCACCTTCATGAGCACATTGTTTGCCTGCTTCAAATCCTTGACCTCTGCTACTGTCACTCGTGATTGTAGTGCTGAGACATCCGCAATCACGTCCAGCCGTGTCGCTGTCACCCAAAGAAGTGCTCCTAGGATGGATCGCAGATCTGAGACTTCTGCTGGTGTCAATCTGGAATCATCTTCTCTTGCAGGGACAGGTGCAGGTGTAATCTTTTCTGAAAACTCCTGCTGGCTGATCATGTAGCCGTCTGCAGTACGAAGGTACTCACAACCGCAATGAGTGAATGGGAATTGCTGTCGTGTCACTTTGCCAAACTTCTTGACAAAGGAATCATATGCATCGTCCAGCCACTCAGGCGTTCCAGTGATCGCCAAGTCATCCACATGCGTCGTGACCATTGCAATGTTCTCACCGTCCTTCTTCCATGTCCAACAGTTCTCATCTAGGTGAGATGGTTCAGCGCCGCTTTCTCGGATGAAATCATGTAGGGAAAACTGCCAAGCCAATTGAGCGTCATTCAACCCATAAACAGGCTTCAAACATAACAGTCCATAGTTATGCAACTCTCGTTCAGGAACCTTGAACTCGTCAGAGAATACCGCCAGATGTCGCCAAACATTAAGTGGAGGAAATATCACCACCATGCGGACAGGTGCTTGAATGCCTTTCTTCTGCAGGGTCTTTCGGATCTTCTCAAAGTCAAAGCCCTTGAGAAATGCTCCAGCAATATCCAAGCTTTCCAGGCTCATCTTGCGTGACCATGATGCTCTGGATACCAGGATCCTTTGGCTTAGCCTTGTCGCAGTCGTTGATCTTGTCGTGAGCTCGCCCTTCTGTCCATCCAAACAACCACGCGCACAAAGTCTAGACTTAATGCGAATGCTCCTGTCAGGATAGCGCTTTCGCTTGCGAACCCACCGTGCATCAATCTGCACGTACCCTCCTGTGATCTTCACCTTGTGGATCTTTGCGAATGCTTTCTCGTCAACAAACTGCTTGATCTCGTTGCGATCAGCTTCTTCAACAGCAGGCCAAATGTCGGCCGTGATGTCTGCTTCTTCAATGTTGCGAGTCTCCTGATCTAC